GTCCTAATCTCTGGTGCTTCATGTTTGCTTCTGTTTTTCTTTTTCTTTTCTTGGAAAAGGGAGGACATATGAAATTTACTGAGTCTGAGCTTTAGCGAAGGAAAGTAAAGAACATTTGGGTTGAGAATTGAATTCTGCTGCAGACTAGAGCCAGTTAACCCACCATAAATGCTTCTGTAGGTGCTCCCTTTCCTAAGATATTTTAATGCCTGCTTCAATATTTAACAGCAACATCCTGGTCTGAAGATGAGAATGCCTCAGTTGCCATGGCAACAGCAGCAGCTGGGTAGCCAACATAACTTATTCAGATATAGCCTGGTCCTACTAAGGGAGCTGCAGTCTAAAGATAGCCCAGGAGCCCGCTTTTACTGTCAGGGCATCTTCTACATTGCCACTAGAGAGGGAGCAAAATGCACAGAACAGAAGGAAAAGTGCAGCAGGAACTAGAAGAATCAGTGCTAAAATCTTATAAGGGATAATCCCCTGTAAAAGTTAAACCCGGTCAGCATTTCTGCCTTGAGCTTGAGTCTGGAGCAACTTGGGAATTCATTGCCACCATGAGAACCACGCGCTCATCCAAAATCATTGAGGTCCAAACTTATACTGGGGAGCACACATTAGATCTGTTTTTCCCCTTAGAGCAAGTAGCACATGATATGAAGATAGAAGACATTAACACCAGTAATGTGTCACGGTCAGACTATGTTCTGGGCACTTTGAGGTTCATGGCTACCACCAATCTCTACAAGATGGTCTAGCCAGGTGATTTATGGGTCCAATTGGTTTCCTCAACTGCTGGGGGAGTTTCCGAGCAGTTTGGCAGGCAGTTCTGTTGGGTGACTAGGCAAACTCTGGAATATGGAGTTGATGAAGGTCGTTGACAGGATTGTTCCTAAGCATGATCATACTTAGGGAAACCAGACTAGATGCTTCCCAGCTGAAGACATGATCCCTGAGTAGATCTGTGTTAATAAGGCCAAAGAGGTCCTGCCACAAAGTGGATCCTGATGCAGCTCACCAACCTCAAATTTTAGAAATGGACATGGAGCCATTTCAGCTCCAAAAACTATTATTGAAAGTGTTACAAGTACACAGAGGATTTCAGTGAAGAGGAGGATGTCAGGAGTCCAGCATGGAAAGTAAAAAGGAGATGGCATTGAGGAATTCTTTTACACACATGCACACACACCTGCATACACACATCTTACAGCTGATGAGACTGGCTTTCAGGCTGTGAAATTGGATCTTTCTCTCTTTCTTCCCCCTACCTCTTCTTTCTTGGTAATTTTGCATTTAACTTCATGTTTATATTCCTGGTCTCCTCTTCTTTTATCTTGAAGAATAATTAGAACTTTATGCCTGTCTGCCTGGCTTCCTTGCTGATTAGGATGCATCTGTAAATAATTTTTTAAAAAGATTGTTCCTCAATAGCTTCTATCTGTGTACCCAATCCAGGATGGTCCTTGGTTTACCAAGAAGCTCTAGGAAATAAAGTGTCTGAGAAGTCACCTGCAGTTCTACCAGCAAAGAGTAAAGATGATCTGACACAAATATAAGCTCATTTTCAACCCTAAAGTGTAGGAGTAACAATGGCGAAGTGTTAATCCTTCTGACACTTAATGCATCTAACTAATGCCACCCAGTGGCCTTGTTTAATGTGATCCACTCTCTGTTGGAAATAGTTTGGTCAGAAGATCTTGCTGGAGCCCATTGGGATGATTTTCTTAGGCATTTTTCAGATAAAATTGCTCATGTCCACTTGGAGTTGACACTGGATGGGGCAGTCTCACATAAGATGATGGAGGCAACATTGTACATATGGCTGCCCTCCAAGATGACCTGGAAGTTA